TTTTGAGTTTTGTTCCACATTGTTCTCACACTCTATCCAGGATCTCCTACATAGATCCCCCTCTCCAAGTGGTTGAAACTGTGCTTCATTCTTCAGGGCAGCAAAATTAATATAATTTTATGCTTACTGATGTGATATATTTCTCCCTCCAAACAAAGCTATGTTGTCAATGTTCCCTAAGAAAATGTCTGAAGTAAAATTTAATCTTTCTTAGTTTACTTTAGAAAAAAATCATTTTATTTTTCCAAATACAGGAATACCAAAACAAGCAAAACCATTGCCATCAAGTCAATTCTGACTCACAGTGAGAGTAGAACTGCCCCACAGGGTTTCTAAGGCTGAAATCTTTATGGAAGCAGACTGCCACACTTTTCTCCCATGTAGTGGCTGGTGGTTTCGAAATGCCAACCCTTCAGTTAGCAGCTGAGCACTTACATATGCTAATAGACACTAATGACTACTTTTATAAATCTTTTATAACAATGAATAAGTCTCCAATTATAAATTTTATTCCTTACCTATACCATTTCTTGACTATTCATAATGATATAAGGGTAGAATGATGTTAATTAACCAAAATATATTTTGTTCAATTCTAGAACCATTGCAAATACAGGCATTATCATTTGGTGACCTTCACTCTGAAGACTCAAAGAAAGGCAAGAGTATAAACAGATTATAGTTTGTTTGAAGTCAAATAAAATATGGTTCAAAGTTGGGCTCCACTAAATAATATCTTAGATAGGAAACTGATAGATTACCTGTAATTCAAGATAAATAACAGCATTATTCATTATTAAGCTATTCTGAAAATTAAATGAGCTAGGATATACAAAATACTTATCACAGTGTGTAATAAATGTTTTTAAAAATTAGCTATAGAAGGCACAGGCAACTAAATGCACAGTCATGTACAGGTATAACTGTAGGCATAGGTATATACATATTGTGCTGCATATATATATCCACATATATCATAAACTACCTAGGGAGCACAATTATGGAGACGTCTTTAGACATATCCAAATAACTCATAGGATTGGTTTACTGGGTTAAAAGGCTTAGGACCATAGTCTCAGAAGACAACTTAGTCAATTGGGACAAAAATGTTTATAATGTTCTACACCCTAGTTTGGTGAGTAGTATCTTGCCATCTAAGATACAACTACTGGTATCTACTTATCTGCAGCAAAATAAAATAAAGGAAACCAAAGATTCAAAGAAGAGACTAGTCCACAGGACTAACAGCCCACACGAACCATGGCCTTTTCTAACCTGAGACCAAAGAACTACATGATACCCAGCTACCCTACCAATCATTCTGACCAGGAACACAACAGAAGGTTCCGGATAGAAGGAAGAAAAATGTAGAATAAAATTCAAATTGCTAAAAATGGCCAGACCTACTGGACCAATAGAAACTAGGGGAACCCCTCAGACTATCATCCTAAGTTAACCTTTGAATTTGGAATTGAAGCTATTTCTGGAGGTCACCTTTCAGCCAAACAGACTGGCTTATAACACTCATGAGTAATGTGCTCCCTTAAACACTAAACTCTATGAGACCAGTCAACATTTACCTAAAAGCAAAGAAGAGAAGGCAAGGAGGGGCAGGGAAGGTAGATCAACAGAAACAGAATAGAATGGAAATAATGAGAATGCTGGCACACTGTGAAAATTGTAACCCAATGTCATGGAACAATGTATATAAAAATTGTTAAATAGAAACCTAATTTGCTGTGCAAACTTTCACCTAGAACACAATAAAATAATTTTACAACAAGCAAATAAAAAATATTATTTGAGTTGAACTAATTTGGCAGCACACCATATTATTAAAAAATAAAATTTTTATATTAAGATTTAATGACAGTGTTACTATTTAATAAAATTAGGTCCCTCATGTCAAATAAATTTTTTAAATTTAAGTAATTAACTGTCAATTCAACAGCATTAAAAACATTTCTAAATACAATTCTCTACACGTGTACATACACATATACAGATATACATATGTGGCTGTGTGATATACAATCACTCCTCAATCATCCACTGACAAAACAGAAAGCAAAAACATTACACTATATTGAAAATACAGTTCTAAGAAACAGGGTTATTTTCCTTAAACTCTATAAAACAAACATATTTTTCCACTTTAAACAATTCATAGAAAGTTTGTTCTTAAAACATTATATCCAATTTGGCAGTTCATGATGAAATACAAAGCATTTCATTTACCCATACTATTAGACGCACCCAATGCCATCAAACTGATTCAGACTCATAGTGACCTCCACAGGGTTTCCAAGGCTGTAAATCTTTATGGAAGTAGTTTGCCCCATCTTCCTTCCACAGAGGACTCTTCTGATAGTTAGCAAGCAGCCAAATGCCTTACCCACTACACCACCAGAGCTCCTTATACTAATAGACAAAAATGACTAATTTAACAAAAGCAACAATTATATACTTCTCCAGCTTATTAAACAGAACACATGTTCTATTTAACTGTCTTTTAAAGATACAGGGCATTGAAAATCTTCAGGTGTATACAACGAACAACCAAAGGAGATAGCTGGGGACCCATTGAAGAAAATAATTTTGAAAAAATACTAATTTTAACTGGTTAATCTACTTATAGATAGATTAGATCTAGATACTCACTTAAGTATCCTAGAAGCACTTTAAATTTTAGTACTCAGCTTTCCTGAATATTTATTAGTCTATAAGTAAAATCAATCATAAATCCAAATTCAATATCCAAGCATCTCTGTAAGCTAAAATTTATATATATATGATAGACATTTGAAGTATTTTTAACTATGTTGTTGTTTGTTATTATGTGCTGAAGAGTCAGACCCAACTCATAGCGACCCCTCCTTGGGTTTCCAAGGCAGTATCACTATGGAAGTAAATTGTCCCATCTTCCTTCCGAGGAGTGGCTGATGGGTTTGAACCCCCAGTCTTCTGGTTAGCAGTCAAGTGCCTTAGGCACTATGCTACCAGAGCTCCCATTTTTAACTATAAGAGATCACTATTGTTATTGTGTAAGCAAAGTATATAAGTAACGGCCAATGTTATCGAGCATGAAAACTACTTCTCTCTTACCTTTATCATTACCACAATTATTTATGAAAAGGATTCATTTTTAGAAACTTGATCTTACCTCATTTCTCTCATCTACATCTTTGCACTTTTCAAGAAGGGCTTTCAGAGCAGGAATGTTTTCTTCTTCCACATAATTTATTACACTCTGTGATATCAGAACTGACATTTTCACAGAAATCTTTATTTCCGTGTCTGTTAAATTAGATAAATACATACAATTCATGATTAGGAGGAAAAACTAAATTACTACTAAGTTTTTAGTCACAAATTACTAATCTGTCATTAGAAAAACACAGTTACTACTAAATATACTATAAACTTGTCTAAGGATACCTCCAATACTAGCAGTGAAAACAAGACCCCATAGCTCAGCTATTAAAATGCCCAACCCTCTTTTTTCAAAACTCAGAGTATTTTAATCTCAATTCATCCCAAATCTGAACTCCAGTCCATCCCTCAAACCCTCCTCACTCCCCCTCCCATCAAATAAAAGATAGTCTCCTGCTGTCTTCTACAACTCAGAGAATGGCAGCTCCAATTCCATTCTTTCAAGACCAAAAACCTTGGAATTCCATGAATTGTCACTGTTATGCCCTATAATCAATCTATTACCAAATACCTTTGGCTATACCTATAAAATATACATATTCATCTCTGACTACTACTCACCACCTCCATCACAACCATCCAGGTCCAAATATTATTACCTCTAACATGGATTACTGGGAAAGCATCCCAACAGGTGTCTCTGCTTCCACCTTTGCTTTCCACACAGTTTATCCTCCACAATACAGCCACAGTTATCTTTTTTTTTTTTTAATTTTTATTGTGATTTGGGTGAAAGTTTACAGAGCAAATTCACTTTCCATACAGCAGTTCACATACACTTTGTCTCATGACACTGACTATAATTTCCCACAATGCAACAGCTCCCCTTCCACTTCCTCCCCATAGTTACCTCTTCCCTGTGTCTTTCCCTCCCATGCACTCATGCCCCCCTGAACTGTCTCCCTATGCATACCCAGCCCTTCTACTCTCCCATGACTGATCTCTCCAAGGAGTGTATCTACCTAATGTAAATGTTCAGCCCCTTATGCCTGTCTTCTGTTTGGCTGGAAGCCAGACCTGAAGGGCAGCTAGGGGCCGTAGTCTCAGTGGTTCCATCAGGCTCTATCAGACCAGGAAACCTGGTCTTTTTTTTTTTTTTTTAATGATTTTCAGTTTTGTTCTACATTGTTCTCCCAGTCTATCCAGGATCACCTACAGAGATGCCCTTCACGGTGATCTTTTAAAAACATAAGTTGGATCCAAGTTCCTTAAACTTTAAGATGTATAAAAATCACCTGCAGAACTTATAAAATACAGATTCCTGGGCTCCATCCTCAGAGATTCTGATTCAGTAGGTCTAAGTTATGGATTTTTGCGGTACAGTGAATCACTTGGTATAGCTCTTTTAGCCATGGTCTTTGGGCTCCCACCAGATGGGTGGAACTACGCAAATGTAAGGTGCTTCTGGACTACCAAGGCAATTGGATAGCTTGCAAGTAATATAAATATGGTACATGGCACCCTTGTGGGAGGTGAGACCATGCAAATAAGGTATACAGAACACTAATGTAGGCGCTCTAGTAGCATAGTGCCTGAGGCACTTGACTGCTAACCAGAAGGCTGGCGGTTCAAACCCACCTGCCACTCCTTGGAAGGAAGGTTGGGCAATCTACTTCCATAGTGATACCGCCTCAGAAACCCAAGGAGGGAGGGGTCACTGTGAATCAGATCTGATTCCATGGCAGTGGGTTTAGTTTGGTTTATGGTTTAGAGGCAGAAGGAAGGGATCTCACTGGCATCAAGAGAGAAGAGCTGAAGGTGGAGTGGAGCACATCCTTGGTCTCAAGACCCCTGTGTCGGACCTCCATGGCAGAAAGATGGCAGAGATGAGTGGCAGAGACACAGCGGCAGCAGAACCAAGAGCAAGAGATAGAGCAGCAGGCTTGCTGGCCCACAGAGTAAGAAAGCTAAGTGCTTTCGGGCAGGAGGCTTGCTGGCGGAGTGGGGTGCACCTACATGCACCTATCAGCAGAGCTAAAAGAGCTCTGTAACACTTGCCCCAGCAGGACAGGGACCAGGCCAAAAGGCCGAGGGCCACAAAGGCATGCCTGAGGACACAGCAGAGGGGAGACTGTCCTGATTGAAGAATTGTACCTTGAGAACATTCCTGAACCAGAATTATAATGTTACTTCCTTAATAAACCCCACAACCATGAATATCATCTGTGAGTTCTGTGTGGCCACTGGAACAAATTACCAAACCCAGCAGAGAAGTAGTAAGTGCCATGGAAGGGACAGCTAGTGTAAAAATTAGTAAAAAGGCTGGAGGGTGGTGGCATGTCTGGCCTCATAGGAATAAGCCTCAGGCTATTGATGGTGACTCTGTTTCCCCCCTTGTGAGGCTGGAGAGGTCTGAGGATGCTGACCCCATGTCCTTTTTGAACCTCTGAATTTATATCTTTAACAAGCTCCAAGGTGATGCTGATTTTGCTGATAGAATTGGAATAGTACTAAGTTAGAATACATCTGTCCTTCACTCAAAACCCTCTAATGGCTTCTCAAAGCACTCCAAGTAAAATTAAATGTTTTCAATTGGGCCTAGATAAATTTCATCTCCCAACACTCTCCCCTCATCTACTTAATTGCTTCCTTTTACTTGAACATGCCAATCACTGTCTGACATCAAGACTTCACCTTTGGTGGGGGACTAGGTTTGCTGGTCCAACGGAGCCTGGTGGAACCACTGAGACTATGGCCCTAGCTGCCCTTCAGATCTGGAATTGAACCCACACCTGTGGTTTCCAGCCAAACAAACGACAGGTATATGAGTTGAACATTTACCTCAGGCAGATACACTCCTTGGAGAGAACAATCATGGGAGAAAGAAGGGTTGCTTATGCACAGGGAGACAGGGGGCAGGAATGCATGGAGGGATGGACACAAGGAAGAGGTTAACTATGGGAGGGAAGTGGGAAGGGAGCTGTTGCATTGTGGTAAACTGTGGTCAATGTTATGAGACAAAGGGCATGTGAACTGCTGTATGGAAAGTGAATTTGCTCTGTTAATCTTCACCCAAATCACAATTAAAAAAAGGGGGGGAGCGGGGAAGACCTCACCATTAGCATTTCCATCTACCTAAACTTCTCTTCCACCAGACACACACAGGGCTTGCTTCCTCACTTTCTTCAGACCATTTTATTAGAAAGTCTAGCCTGACCATCTGAGATACAATAGTAACAACCTCATATACACTCCCTACCAGTCCCAGCAGCATCATCCTACCAACCCTGTTTTATTGTTCTCCATAGCATTTATCACCATCAGAAACAAAACAGTTTCTTTACTGTCTATCTGTCACAACTAGAATGCAAGTTCCAAAAGAGCAGGAAGTTAATTTTATTTATTGCTAACAGACTGAATGTGGGGTGTAAGTGATAGAAATGAGTCAAGGATAATTCCAAACTTCAGGCCTCAGAAGAATGGAGGTAGAGCTGCAATTTACTGAAAACTACACCAAGGTCCATCTCCTAAGGGTTTTTTCTTGAGTTTTTCAACAAACATTTATTCAGAATCACTGAGTGTCAGCTATGGGGATACAGCAGTGGTGTACATAAGACTAATTTTTCATTCAGCAAATAGCTACAATCAAAGAAGTTATTTTCACCAACAGACTTGTCCCAGTGGAGGAAGAATCAGAGATATTACCCAAACCAAAACAGAAAGAAAAAAAGAGTGGAAAAACAAAATAGGACAAAGTATCCATGTACTGTACAGTATTCAAACCATATACCATATGTGCAACTGGTATCCCAGAAGAAGTTAGAGAGAGCGCAGAAAGCAGGAAAATACTTAAAAGTCAAATATTTTAAGGTTTTGACCAAGAATTATACAAAAATAATCAAAGACATCAAACCACAGATCCAAGAAGCTCAGAAAACCCAAAGTAGAATTTAAAATAATAACAACAAATAAACAAACACTTCTCTGTTGTTGTTGTTGTTGTT